ACTACTGTGTGTGTACACCTTATCATTTTGTTTGTTGTAGCTCTTTTCTACGGTAAAAATTTTTTCATTCGAAAAAAGAATTTCCCGATATTTTTTTCCCGCGTACCGCTTCAACAAAGCGCGGCATCTCTTCAGTCTCAGGTCCATTAGACGAGCATTCAAACGATGTCCTGTTTTTCTTCGATATGCACGAAGCCCTAAGTCTTCATTTAATACCCTTTTCACCGTGGTTCTGCTTAACCCATCTGAAGGGCCAACAGTTTCTGCTTACGTTTGGGATTTCTTTGAATTCGCGCCTTCACAGATTTTATCACTGCTGGAGTCCTAACAGACCGAGGGCGACCACTTCTTGACCTGTCATCTACACTAGAGTCTTCATTGTATCGTTTGATGGTACGATAAACGAATCTTTTGGTTATATTAAATTTTTTTTTTATAGGATGAGGGTGACAAACGAGCACACAGTCCACCTGATGGTAAGTGGTTACTGTGGCCCATAGATATCTACATCTATCTTCGATTAAGAATCTAAATGCAGATGCGTTGTCACCCGTGAGGACTAAGATGGAATGCCTCGTTTCCAGTAAAAAGGGTCTCCGGTTCTCTACACTCACCATACGAAACACAGCAGCGTTAAGCTGCTATTTTACGCTGGTATTCTGTGAGAGCGTGGTCCTTCCCCGGTCGAGCCGACCCATTCGTGCTACAACTATAACATAGCTGCAGCATGGCTCTACCACGTATAAAAGTATGTGAAAAATTTGAATTGGCGCGTAACCGCAACGATGCAACGCAATAACTGCAACACGGTCTTCTTTAAGCGTCCACTTCATATTTAAAAAAAAGTAAAATTGTAAAAAGTGTGCAGTTTTATTTTCATAAACAATTCGAAATTCGAATTCAATAAACTTTTTTGTGGCCAGCATTCTAAAAGAAAAGTTTTTACTGTGTGACAATACTTATGACCTGACTAGGTATATATATATAGCTGTGGGAAGGTATAGTGTGATAATGATATTAATAAAGGTAGCATTATATGTATACATACAATATGCGTGCGTACTGCGTAGTGCAGTTTGTTTTAAAAATATCCTGATGGTGAGATATATATATATATATATATATATATATATATATATATATTTTTACGAAAATCGTATACTGGCTCGCATACGAGTAACTTAAAAGATTTCATCACATACTTTCAATTCGATTTCAATTTACAATTAATGGATAGATTTACCTACCATCAGTCGGTAGTAGCAGTAAGTTTGATAAGTCGACCTGCAAGCTAAGAAATACGTCTATGCCTACAGGCTGTTACACGCTCAGATGTTGTTGGAATTTCGAGATAATGTATCTCTTGTATGTTATCTCACTTATAGGTGTTATTTAACTATTTTAGATATTCCACTATTGTAATACTTCTTTATCCACGCGTAAAAATCAAATATCTTTATTCATGTAGATTCAAAGCACTTATGAACATCAACATATCATAATAATAATTGCAAAAAAATAATTTAAAATATCTTGATAGGTCCAGGCCACGCTCACGAGGTCCGACTGTGGGGTGGTCTGTCGACCGAAATTATGCCTGTAGTCGTCTCTGCGAACGGGCTAATCCCGGTCAGCCTCTCGGATCGTCTGAAGCGGCTGGGACTCCGTGACGGACCGCTCCAGGCTCAAATGCAGAAGGCGGTGCTCCTCGATACCGCCCGCATCGTCTGTCGGTTTCTTTCCTTTTCCCCCTAAGCCTCGGCCGTTTGGTCTCCCTTACCGAGGGCTTCGATCTTGGTGGGCCTTTATTTATTCATGTATTTTTTATTTATTTATGTTAGTATATTTAATATATATTTATGTATATTTATCATCTACTTTTATATATTTATTCAGGCCAACCAGATGAGAATATTTTATGGATACCCAAAAAATAATTGTTACTTAGTGTTCACACTATATTCATATAGAGAGAATAGCTACGACGAAATACGTCTGTGGCGAATTTATGTTAAGTGTAACTTATTAAATTTTTCAACTTTGAAAATGAGATTGTATATATGTGTTAAATTGAAAGACAATAAGATCAAGCATCTTCATCTACAAGTTAGTTATTGACTGTGTAATATGCTTTTTTTATGGGCGAATCTTTTACGTATTTCTTAAAAATATTTAAAGGTAAGCTTTCTTTGGGTATCTTATTGAAGAAGCGTACATAATGACACCCATATCCTCTACAGAATATGAGTGTCCTCCATTATATGGAGAATTTGCCTTTATCGTGATGCCTTTCAGGTGGACAAGGGAGAAATTCCGGAATTGACGATAGCAGACGTGTCGCACTTTTGACGCTGCTGCCCGTCCTTGGTCTAGCTATATACCGTCATCTATCAAAAGTCATGAGATCTTTCTTGTAATCTCTCTTACGCCTCTTACGGTACCCACGAGATGAAATGGGTGGTAGATTGTCTTACACTACCACTACACGGTACATTACTGCTGTATATTAATATTAATTTATTCTTTCTTATTAATTGTATAGATTGTTACCAGTTTTTTCTTTAATTTGCGACTGGATAAAGTTTTTAAACTTTGACATATTCACAACTAAGGGCAGTCGGGTTGGTGAGCGCAGTGCAGATAATTGTTCTCCGGTTATGCTGCTCCATAGGTATCTCCAGTTAGTGTGATTTGCGTCAACAAATTAAAATAGATATACCGCCGCTAATCACCCGCAAGTTTTTTTCTTTAATTAATATTTGAAGATAAAATTGTTATACTCGCCTAACTACATCTTCATGTCATGGTTCATCTAAAGCTGTTTACTGCAGGGTATACTTGAGAGAATTTGCTATAGAAAATTGCAGTTTTTTTTTATAGGAGAGGGGGCAAACGAGCATGCGGCTCACCTGATGGTAAGTGACTACCGCCGCCCATGAACAACTGCAACACCAGGGGAACCAAGGGGAATTGCAAATGCGTTGCCGGCCTTTTAAAAAGGAGTAGGCTCTTTTCTTGAAGGTCCCTAAGTCGTATCAGTCCGGAAAAATCGCTGATGATAATCGATTCCACAAGGAAGTCGTGCGAGGAAGAAAACATTTCTAAATCGCACAGTGGTGGACCGCCAATCATCCAGATGGTGTGAATGGTATCGGGAGGTCTGCCGCGATGTTTTAGATGACTTGCATATTCATACACTACTACACATTCTACTTACCCTTTTTCAGCTTGCATATTTTAGATTTGGCAATTTTTGAGTTCGTTGGGCTTTTTTGGTCGGATGGGACAATATTTTGGAATTTAAAGGATTGTAGTATTTCTTAGCTTGTTCTTATACATGTAGGATTTGTTGTATTGTACCATAATAACTTTCGCATCTATTGTTAAATATTGTTATATTAATTTTCTTCCCATGTTGAGACTATCAGTGATACGTACATTGTTGTTAGGTCCTATACTCTCATAGAGTATACGAGAGTAAAATAGCAGCTTAATGTTGCTGTATGTCGTAACAAATATATTTGTAGAGAACCGAAGGCCAGAAGCCGAAAGCCGGATAGATGTAGTTCTCTATGAGCCATAGAATCCATTTACAATCAGACGGATTGTGTGCTCGTGTATCACCCTCATTCTATGAAAATTTAATAAATTCTTCTATTTACCACTAGAGGGGAGCAGATTTTAGATAACAAAATTTCCAGCTATACATAATTTTGGTAAAATTTGTTAAAATAGCTTCAAATGCTTAAGGTAACAAATTATTTTTTTAAAATGATGAATTGTCTATTAACAATTTCTGTAGTGTCATGCTTGTTTATCGTGCTTCATTATTTGTATAGTATCGTGCCATATAGCTCGTAAAGCCCACACCTGATGGGGAAGAAAGGTTTTCAAGAGGCAGCCTCGAACCGGTAGGTGAAGTGTAGGGTGGTCCCCCACTAGATAAAGTGACGACCTGGTAAGAAATGCAGGAAGGCAATGGATGCATTACTTGGGGAAGGCTTATGTATAGCAGTAGACTGTAATGAATAGTTGTAATGATGATGATGATGATAGTATCATGCTATTAACTTCAGTGACTTACATGTCTGATTTCTCATCATCTTAGGATATGACGTATACAGTTTATAAGTTAAAGCTCAGCGTTATAGCTTCACTGTTACTTAGCTGAGCCGTAAGATTTTGATAGGGCTACTAATCCATAAAGTAAGTGTTACCACAGTGGACATCGTATTAGTTCTTCATTTTATTTATCAGCCGGGTCAAAGGATACTCTCAATGGAAGGTAAGTAGGGGGGAGGAAGGAAGGAGGAGTAGGGAGGAGGAGGAGGGAGGAGGACGTTTAGCAAGCGATTAGTGATCACACTATAGATGTCTCCCAGCTTTGACGTTTTCCGATGCTTAACTAGATATTTTAGCGTATACGTAATGGTTTATCGCAGACCAAGATTTTTTTTATAAAATAAGGGTGACAAACGAGCACACAGTCCGCCTGATGGTAAGTGGTTGCTGTGGCCCATAGACATCTATATCTATCTTCGTTTGCAAATTAAAATACAGATGCGTTGTCAACCGTGAGAACTAAGATAGAATGCCTCTTTTCCAGTAAAAAGGGTCTCCAGTTCTCTACGCTCAGCATATGAAATACAGCAGCATTAAGCTGCTATTTGAGCTCTGTTGCTCTTATTCTGCGAGAGCGTGGTCCTTCCGGGGTCGAGCCGACCCATTCGTGCTACAACTATACTATTAATATAGCTGCAGCATGGCTCTACCACGTAAGATACGAGTACGAGGTTGTTTTAACCTTGCCTTTCCCATAGGCACCTATTACGACATTCATGGAACGATTACAACATTACGCGGCCAACACACAGCAAACGTATATCTACATAGTAGTAGGCAAATATACTATTATTTATTATCATTCGTCTAATTAAAGAAAGGATAATTCAATGAACTGAAAATTGATAAAACCATTTATTGCTTTTGTATGTTTTAATTCACACGTTTAGGTAAATTGGTTTATTTTTGAAGCTGTTTTTCCAAATTTCAAAGAGGCATATAGTCGAGTGAAATCTGTAGAAGATAGCCAACGGCATTGATACGTGCGTTATGATTGTCCACGCCCAAGGACCGTAGAAAGCCAAATGAGCAGGTCGGAATTCTGCACGATTCTGTAAACATTAAAATATATTATAGTGGTAAGTTATATTGCAGTCTATATGATTTTTAAAATAAATATACAAGGAGAATATATTATTTGTCAGCCCGTAATAGTTCACTGCTGAACATACACCTCGAACTCTCTCATTGTGGGCAGGTTTTCATGGTTAGCAGGCGGTATGGCAATGGCAGTACCTGATGAGTTGCATAATAACCCGAGGCATTAAGCTTTGTCACATGGGCAACCGTGAAGACCCAAAATTTCGATTCCAAATATATCACTAACTATACGGACTGGTTATAAACCTTTTTTTTTTTAAATATTCTGAGATATACAAGACGAGGTGTGGCGCAAGTGTTCGAGCACCGGTCTAAGTTTCAGTTTCTGGTTCCATAATATCATAATATACTCGTAAAAAGTTTTGAACGCAGTATTTCTAACAACTACGTTATACTGGATGGCGATTAGGTTATCACACCAAGTAACAGAGCGGTAAATACAAGTTCATATATGTCTGTTAAAATAATAAAATAAACAATTCTACCAAAAATAAAATAAATAGCGTAAAAATTGACTCGAAATAAATCACAGTGATAATATATGTATTAGTTTACTGCCATGAAATGCAAATCCAGCAAATAGGCATAAATGGTATGGTTCATACACTCTCAATGCTAGCACCGTACATGCACGCACAAACGCACGCACGTACTCACTCACTCACGTACGCATGCACACTTCCACTCTCTCTCTCTTTCTCTTTCTCTCTCTCTATCTCTCTTTCTCTCTATCTCTCTCTCTCTCTCTCATACACACACACACACACACACACACACACACAATTTATTTTATTTTTCTATATATATGTACATGGAAATTTGACAGATTTGTTTATTTTATTTTACCTTTATTTTATATTTTTGTTAATATTTTTTCTCTTGCTGTTTTTTGTTATCTGCCTCATACTCCTGGCTCCACTGAAAATCAGCGTTACGAATTGATGTATGTATATCTTCAATTCGTGACTTAAAGCTGAGTGGAGACCATTTTGGTGCATATTACGTTTCTTTTACTCCTTTTTTTATATTTTTGTTAAGTTAAAAAAAAATGTTTTATTTGATTTATTTTTGTTTGTTATAATTTATGTGCCAAATAAACTTATTTCTTTCTTTCTTTCTTTCTTTCTAAATAACCTGTAAAAGCGGCAATGGTACGGCACGTGCGCAGTGCTCACGCGGCATCGACATAGGTAATTATGTATTTACCTACACCTTCACATTCATAGGTAATTAAGCTCAAAACGAAAAAAGGCTTACCGCGTCTAGAATGTTAATTGTTATTTTTTTTAATTGTGTATGTTCAAAGAACATTATGTAGGATAAGTCTTTTCATTTAATGTGATAACTTTATCGCCATTCCGTATAAAAACTTGTTTAAAACATTAATTTGTGTTTATCATTTTGTATTATTGTTCGAGTATAATATACTCACTAGTACTATTATACTCTACTCACAGAATACCAGCGTAAAATAGCAGCTTAACACTGTTATGTTTCATATGGTGAGTGTAGAGAACCGGAGACTTTTTTTACTGGATAAGAGGCATTCCATCTTAGTCCTCACGGGTGACAACGCATCTGCATTTTGATTCGCAAACGAGGATAGATTTAGATGTTTATGGGCTACAGCAACCACTTACCATCAGGTGGACTGACATCCTATAAAAAAATATTCTTATAATTTTTTATAAAACAAATTGACAAGCAAATTAACAGTCCAGCTGATAGTAAGTGGCTACTGCAGCACAAACAACTTTAAACAAAAAAGGATACAAGATGCGTTGTCATCTCGGAGAACTAAGTTTTTATTGCTTTTCAGTCTGTAATTATACTAATCCTCTTTCAACCCGGAACACCGCAGTTCACGTACTGCTACTTGGCGGCAAAAATAAATAAAAGAATGCCGCCTACCGAGACAGATTCCTAGTCATAAAAGGAACTTTATATGAGATTGACTTCACAAAGGGAAGCCTACAGATGTCTTCTATCCCTAAGGAATAAGGTCTAATGCCGTACTGCCGGTAATCACTACTGTATACACAAAACTGGATCCTGTATAGCGGCTGAAATACGTAAGAGGGTAGTAACTATCGACGGATGTTCTTTCATTCATGATTAAAATATACACAAAAATATGCTTACGAACGTTTTTATAATGGACTACCTGGTAAGGCGCGTTGCTGCGACAGAAGAAAAAATGTAGAATTATCGTTTTAAAATTGAAAGAGTTATATTGTTTAATTAGGAATGATAATTCATTCATTGAAATTGAATGATATTATATAATAATAATAATAAGCCCCCTAAAATCCTACCTTACGTCCAAGCTGAACACCTAGCTACGTGGGGGGCGGACACGCGTACTGTACAACAGTACAAAAAACTTGCGCGGCTAACAAGGAAAGGTAACCCTTTATGGAGATGAGTAATAAGAGAGAATATAATTTACGGTCGCTGCCCGGGGAGCGCCGGGGTGCATCTGGAGCCGATGCTATGTGCCACAGCATGCGAACCATCGGCGGTGAGGAGTTGAGCAAGCGGGTTCCCACCGACAAAACTGTTACAGCTGGTCGTAGTGAGTTGAACAGGCGGGCTCACACACACACACCGATTCCACGGGCGATGATACTATTTCATTATTTTCATCCATCCCTTCGACTCGCCCCTCCTACGTGACAAGAAAATCAGTTAGCTTGTCCACCACCAGCACGCTTGATAGTGTTGTGCAGGAAGTCAACCCTGACTCTGAGCTTGCACCCACTACAAGCGCCTCAAGTACGCGTAGACGATGGACACCTGAAATGAATAAGTTCATACTGCGCACTTACCTTCAATTGACTGCACTAGATACAGACAGAAAAACTTATCTTGAACCACTCAACATAAAATTTATAGAAAAATACCCGAACATTTTCTGTCGACTAACATGCAGGTTAGTCGCCAGAGAATAGGAGACCAACGTAGAGCCATAATAAACAATAAACTACTTCCACAAAAAACTATAGAAGAGATACGAAACGACGTAAAAGAAGAGTTAGATAGTCTACAGTTTCATTCAACCCAACAGTCACATAACACTATCGACCATGTACAACAAATACTGACACCCACACAATCTATCCAAATTCCACCCCCGAAACACATAGTACTAAAAATAGAACGCAGACCCGAATGAGATGGACTAGTGAACTAAATGAAGCTATAATGCGTTCTTATTATCGAGTTACAGATTTAGGCAGAAACGAAAGAGTATATAGAAGACGCATGTATGAAGATTTTATCAATAGATTTCCTGCACTTGCTCATCTTAACGAACAACGAATAGCTGATCAAAGGAGAGCAATTGCAAACAATAAATACGTCACTAGTGACAGATTAAATTCATTAAAACTAGAAGTATCTGAAGAATTACGACTACATAATTTTAACTATACCAACTTTACAAGCAAAACGACGCTAGTAAACCCAAACCACAACAGTAATTCTGAAACTCAATTTATAAACAGCATTGACATCAGCACCACACAAGAACCTTCACTTACTTTAAATCATACTGAAATTAACATTGCAGAAGACTACCTATACCACACTACTACCTAAACCACAAGCAAACCTAGATAGGGATCCACTAATAGATGAGACGGTCCAACAAGCATTCCAACATTATAAGGAAACTAACTCTACAAAAATAATTTTTATTCCTAAACAAAAACCTTCTAAAAAACTAGCGCGTATAGTTACCTACCTAAACAAAATAATTTTACCAGAAAACGTTAACAAATAAACTGACTTCTATACCTTACAATCTACTATATATTGTGCGGCATGGACTGCGGCAAAAGTTAACGGAGCAAAGATAACCTTTCAACCAAGAGAAGTCACCCAAAGGGCAAAAAAAGAATATAAAAACTGGGAGACACGATTAGAACGAAAATTAAATGATTTACGTTCAAAGATAGGACAATTGACACAATTCATCAATGGCAATAGAAGTAGGAAAATAATTAAACACGTTAACAAGATACTAGAACAATATAGAATCCACACTGGTCATGAAGAACCAAATACACAAGCAGCTTACACATTAGACACGCTTAAACAAAAACTGTCAGTCGTAGCAAGCCGACTACAATGATACAAAGCATGTGCCCAAAGAAAACTACAAAATACTCAATTCACCCCACACAATGAAAACTTTTCTACCGCAATATTAGACAGGCGACATCTAACGTTCAGGATAACAACCCAAAGGATGATGATCATAACTACCCTGATTCAGAGACGTTACAAAACTTTTGGGCAGGAATTTGGGAACAATCAATCGAACATAATGTCTAAGCAGAGTAGATACAAACAGAATTCACAAACAGCAACACAAATTTTCAAGCAATGACATTTGATCACATATCCCCATTAATTTTCTATAAAGTACTTTCTCGTTTACATAACTGGAAAGCACCCGGTTCAGATAACATTCATAGTTATTGGTACAAAAAATTTACATCCACCCATAGTTTTCTCTATAATTACATAAATACTTTCATACAGGATCCTAAAACAATACCCTCCTACCTAACTTCAGGTACAACTTTTATGATACCTAAAGATCGTAATGATATCTCAAATCCAGCAAAATACCGATCAATAACATGCTTGCAGACCTTGTACAAAATTATCACATCTTGTATATCTGAACTAATATATTAACACATCGACACTAATAATATCATAGCCGAACAACAGAAAGGATGTCGCAAATTCAGCCATGGTTGCAAGGAACAATTAATCATAGACTCATTTATCCTTCAAAAAGTACAAAAAACCAAAACCGATCTCTTTAGCATGTATATTGACTACAAAAAAGCATACGACTCTGTTCCCCATTCATGGCTTGTAAAAGTTTTAGAGATATACAAAATACATCCAACTATAGCAACATTCCTGAAGGTCATGATGACAACTTGGACCACTGTATTAAGACTTACTTTGCCCAGGAAAATAGTAGATACCATCCCAATAAAAATTCAGAGAGGGATCTTTCAGGGAGATGCTTTAAGCCCACTGTGGTTCTGTCTTACTCTAAATCCCCTATCTAATACATTAAACGCAACTACTTTAGGAATCCCGTTAAAAAATACAACTACCGAAGGGCAAAATGAAATTCCAACAATAGAATTAAATCATCTGTTGTACATGGATGATATCAAACTATACGCCAAAAGTGGGACTCAACTCTGTGAATTAGCAAACTTGACTGAACAATTCTCAAGCGATATTAAAATGGAATTCGACATAAATAAATATAAAATAAATTCAATTAGAGCAGGATAGAATTACCAACACCAATACACGTTAGGAACAAGAGAACAGATAGAACCATTAGAGGAACAAGATAGCTATAAATACCTAGGCTACACACAATCACGACAGATGCACTATAAAGAAACTAAACAAAAATTAACACTACAATTTCAACATAGACTAAACACAATACTGAAAACGCAACTATATTCCCGAAATACTATCAAAGCAATCAACACCTTCGCTATACCGGTTCTCACATATTCTTTTGGGATAATCAATTGGACCAAAACCGATCTGAAAAACCTTAAACGAAAACTTAATACCACAATGACCAAATCCCGCCAACACCGCCCACGATCATGTCTGCAGAGATTAACACTGCCGCGGAAAGAAGGAGGTAGAGGACTAATTGATATCCTAAACATACACAACAGACAGATAAAAGCACTTAGACAATTCTTTTTTTCAAAAACCGAAACCTCTATTCTTCATAAAACTATATCACAGAACGACCAAAATTTAACACCCCTAAATTTAAAAGATATAACTGAACAGAAAAATGAGAAAGTAATTGAGGACAAAACCAAGCTTTTGGAATGGTCCCAGAAGTCTCTACACGGAAGACATCGGCAAGACTTATACCAGATAAATGTCGACAAAGAGTCGTCGAACGCGTGGTAAAATCGAGGCGAACTCTTCCCGGAGTCGGAAGGGTTTATGCTTGCTATACAGGACCAGGTAGTTGAAATCAAAAATTACAGAAAGTTTATTATAAAGAATTTAAATAATGACACATGTAGGAAATGCCACAGCTGTCCAGAAACGATTCAGCATATAACAGGCGCGTGCAAGTCAATAACCCAAACAGACTACAAACATAGACACGATCAAGTAGCCAACATTATACACCAAAAATTAGCACACCAGTACAAACTTATAGATTCCGTTACACCATTCTACAAATACAATCCAGAAATTGTATTAGAGAACCCATCAATAAAACTATATTTTGACCGCGCCATTCTTACCGATCGGACAATCCATTTCAATAGACCAGATATTACACTTATAAACAAGATAAACAAAACTGGGTATTTATTAGATATTGCTATACCAAATACCCATAACTTGCAGACAACAATAGCAGAAAAACTGAGCAAATACACTGAATTAAAAGATGAAGTAGCCCGACTCTGGCATCTGCAAAAAGTTACAATAGTACCGATAGTATTGTCTACAACAGGAGTAATACCGAAACAACTTCACCAGTCCCATAACTCCCTCAACTTACCTACAAATACCTATCATCTGCTGCAGAAGGCCGCGATACTAAACACATGTAGACTTGTTAGAAAGTTTCTGCAATGTGAACCAGAAAACCCAGATCAAAACACAAATACGCCACCATTTTCTGTGCAATCTTCTACACGTGACCGTATTTAATCCAACTGATAATCACTTGGCTTAGGCCCGTGTTATCAGCTCTTCCCGGCTTGCCGAGAATATAAAATCAATTCATTTGTCAGCGCTTAGATATTCTTGGTGAGATCATTTCGATTTTTTTTCCACTGTAAGTTAACCAACAAAAACAGTGGGATATTCCATTGGTACGGGGCGTGCAGAAAGATTTGTTACATAATGTCCAAAGTGACCAAGATTAGGCACGCCTTCTAGCTGTTTCGACTAAGGAATCTAGTCACTGGTTACACGCTTTACCATCAAGTAATCTCGGTACATTACTTGATGGGGAAAGCTTGCGTATTGCCGTAGGAATCCGACTAGGAGCGGCGCTTTGTCAACCCCATCAGTGCCCCTGTGGTAGCAGCGTCGACATGTTTGGGCTCCACGGACTTTCATGTAAGAAAAGCGCTGCTAGGTTTTCACGACCCAGTTCTTTGAACGATTTCATCCAAAGGGCTCTTGTCTCTATAAATATTCCCTAGGTTTTAAAGCCTTGTGGAATATTTAGAGACGATGGCAGGAGACCCGACGGTATGACATTGGTCCCTTGGAATAGAGGTAAAGCCCTAGTGTGGGATGCTACTTGCGTAGACACTCTGGCAGCCTCTCATTTCAGGGGTACCTTGTTTAGAGCCAGGGTGGCATCAGAGGCAGCTGAACTGAGTAAATGGCGCAAATATGAGTCTCTGAGAGATGACTACATATTTGTGCCATTTGCTGTAGAGACTATCGGTCCGTGGGGTCTACGTACGGTGAAGTTCCTAAAGGAACTCCATCCGCGGCTGGTCGTTGCTGCTGGTGATAAGAGGGCTGGTTCTTTTCTCGCTCAAAGGCTAAATATAGCCATTCAGCGGGGAAACGCAGCCAGCGTTCTTGGCACGATACCGCGGGGAGTAGGACTATATGATAATTAAGTTTCTAGTTTTAGTTTTTTTTTATTATTATAGTTTTTTAATATTGTATATAATTAAAATAAAATATAGATATTATCTAAAAGTATGAAATCCCAATTAGGTATATATTTAATGTCGTAGGTAGTATTTATTAAATAATAATAAATTTTTTTTATTTCAGATACAAGCTCCATACTTTATTAGTAATAAATAATATAAATTTAAAATTAATGTTAGTAAATGCACAACTAAAACAACAATACTTATTTTATATTAAACATAACAGCTCTGGACCCCATATGCACAGTGTTCCAGTGCCGCACAACCGGACAATCAAGCCTTCCTAATACAGTACATAGGAGTCCGTTGGCACTGTCTCGCACGCGTCGCATCAGGGAGGCCACTCTTTTCCGCACTATTGTATCAAAGCTGACCGTGTTAGCCTCAACAAACATACCTGATGCGCTGCAATATCGAGACAGCCCCATCAGCATCCTAAAACCATTATTGTACTGAACACGTATAGCATTTACTGATCGGCGAGTATACTTGACTTGTAAAACGTTTGGCAGTACGCCTTAAAAAGGGTTATCTTGACAGATTTTGTACACCTTGTAAACCTGCGAGCCAGCATGTTGCACCTCACTGTCAATGCTCTACTTTCTCGTTCAATATCCATGTCATCAGAGAGGTCATCTGTAACCCAGTGCCCCAGGTATTTAAATTTGGTGACTCTATTTAAAGGTACTCCTCCAAGCCTGACCAGTGAGATAGCCTTGGGTTCTTTGTTCCCTGCCTTGAAAACAAGTAGTTCACTCTTTTTGGAGTTATACCTGAGGCCATGAGCTTCTGCATATCTCTCACATAAATTTATTAATACCTCGAGTGCTCTGATCGAAGGGCTCAGCAGCACCATGTACGTCAGCGTAACTGATGCTGTTTACGAAGTTACCATCTATTGAGCGTCCGACGCCAGTTCTGCTAAGCTCATCGATCAATCCATTTATATACAGGTTAAAGAAGGTGAAGTTAACCCTCCTAGTCTCACTCCGCACTCCAACCTATATTCACTCGAGTATGAGCATGCCCACCTTACATTATTTGATTGGTTGTGGTACCAATACCTTAATATATCTACTATCTCGCTAGGCGTGCTTGTTTCCCTCCGAAGCTTATCCCATAATAGGTTATACGAGACCAGGTCAAATGCCTTCGACAAGTCCAAAAAATAGGCGTAGTCAGGCGTTTTTCTCGTAACATAATACTGGACGGTATGCTTGAGTGGTAAGATTGCAGTTTCAGTGGACAGTTCAGGTCTAAACCCAAACTGTGCCTCATGTACATGTATATGTTTACTTAGTTGACGATCAAGCAAACCATCCACTACTTTCACTATCACAGTAGCTAGCGAGATCGGTCTATAATTGTTCCTGTCGGCAGCATCCCCAGTCTTATTCTTTGGAACTGGTACCACTATGGTCTCATAAGTTCCTGAGGTAAGTATTCATACCTTATACACACATTAAAGAGCATAGTCAATAACCTAGGCAGATGAACTCCCGCGTATTGCAGGTGCACAATACTGAGGTCATCATATCCAGGTGATTTACCACGTGTCATATTATTTATGACATTTGCGACTTCTTTCGCTGTAAATCTGGCAAATTCACTGCATGATTATATATGTAACTTTCAAATAAATTATTCGGTACGATACGCGCGTCACCTAATGTAAGTTAATTGTACTATGCCTATAACATTCGCGCTAGTGCAAGCAATAAATTGACAAAGTTTTATTGCATTCTGATGAACGGTATGGCAGTGCATAAAATACGAACAAACAAAAATGATTTTTTTTATATATTAGATATATTTTAACAATAATATCCAATTTATTGCGTTTTAAAGTTAACTCGCTTGAGGGATAAATAATGCGTTACCTTTTCAAGAGTGTTTATCGCCCACATGGCCATGTTTGCGACAAGTAGGAATGTCACTAGCTGACGACCTGGTTTTACTCTACGTTGTTTTGATGTGGTGCTGCGTCGCCACCACGCGTCTATTATGAACAATGATTGCAATATCGTCTGAAAATTAAAAATGAATAGCCAATAAGTCCTTCATTTTTAAATATGAAATATAAAAGAAAGAATTTGTTCCTTATTTTTAATTATCCGATAAGTTAAACTTATAGTAAAAAAAAAGACTTTAAAGTTAAAACTTTAAAGACTTCTAAGTAAGCTTGATTATAAAATTAATCGCTCTTTGCATTGTAATGTTGCTTAAATTTTCTTCACTTTCTTTATCGCACTGTAGAAGTACAGTGGCATGTCCAGTGTAAAGGTTCTCCTCATGTAGGGAGATGGATGGATTGGCAATCAAAGCACCAGTCATCTTGCTTCTTTAACGTTGCTTTTCGTCGTCTGTCTGGGTATTTTAGATCTGACATAAACGAGATGGTTATACCGTCTTAATCAGAGGTTGTATGATTATCCTGAGATTTCTCAAAGTCGCTACTGATGATACGTGTGGAACGAAATAGGTTCGTGAATTTTCCTACGCGGCCACCCGGAAAATATTCTCAATTGATTAAATGTTATTTTATTTCAATCCAGTTAGAAAAGTATAACTTCTGTAATTACTAATATTGTATGTTTTTTTGGAACGAAGTTCCTTATCGGACGATACGAATGTGACGGATGCGGGCTAGACGAGAAAACGTGTAAGATTTTTCCGTCACGACCTCTTTTGACGTAGTGTAGACGGCCTTGGCGGCTATAAGGAAGGGAGATGGAATAATATCCATCTCCCTCGCATTTTTCTTATTTTGCCATGAAAGAAATATCAATTTATTTTAAAAATCGCTTCATTTTCATAGACGCTAGTAATTCATTTATTTGTATTTGCTAATCAATAATATAATACGTTTATCAATAATAATATATTACGAAAGGAACTTCGTTCCAACCGAGTGTTCCACGGCACTCACGCATGTTATTTTTAATTTAATTAAATTATATAGAAAAATTGAAAATTTTTAAAATCACCTGATTTAACGATAAAAATTCAGAAAAGAATCCAGTGATTCCTGTACTATGGTTACTATACATAGTGTGATGACTTCCGATTAAACTGAACATGCAGTAAACAAACATTCCTGTCTGTGCCAGGATCAATAGAGAAGTATCAAGCCCCAAAACAGCTGAAAATAGTTGTCATTAATTCCTACTGTAAAATAATAATATATTAAATATATTTCTTAAGTAAGCTAAAGCGGCATTAGACCCACTTTGAGACATCAAGAATTGAGCGATGGTAGATCTAATAGACGGATCACCCGATGAAATATGCAGGAAGTTGATGGATGCAAGTTGTTCGAGACCGCGTTTTGTGGCAAACTATGTGGGAAGTCTAGGTATGTCCAACAGGAGACTAATGGTAGGCTGTGATGGTGATGATGACGAGTTAATAATTTGTAAATGATCTTCATTCGAATTCCATCGTAAAGCATCTATACTCAGTCTGTATCCTTATTAGCATTTTTAAAGTAGTACAAAATCATTTTCAACTATTATTGCTTTTTTATAATTAAGCCCTTTTCCACCTAAGCCAAATAATTTAATATCACTAACCTTGGGATTTTCGTTTGTATGGTAATGCTCTCATTTGTTTCAAAGCTGCTGCAGATGCAAGAAGGGTCAATGTATAAAGGACCAATTCACAAATATTTACTTCGAATATAGCGTCCTAAAAGTATATATGAAAATTAATTACTATGGACTCAAAAAAAAAAATAAGTGCAACATAAAGCATTTAAAATCATATTATTACTTGAATTGTTTTTGAATTATTTGCTAGTACAAAGAACATTATTAAGGATATTATTGTGAAAACAATCAAGAGAATTCCAGCAAAAAGACCGCGATGAGCATGCGAACAGTCCACGGAGAAATGATGAAGCGCGTTGTGACTTCCGTGAGGTGAGGTTACTCCTAACATACCGGCTGCAAAGAAAACACATAAAAGATAAAATAACCAAATATCATTGTCACGAATCGATTCATCCTTTAAAAATATCCCAACCGAATTGCTGTAAGATTTTTTCTGGAGTCACCGAATTATTTCTTGATTTGTTTCTGCCAACGTTGAATTTTCTTTCAAAGTTCCCAGGTGTACACTTTACCTTAAAAAATAAAAAGTTGTAACAAAAAAAAATGAACAAAAAATTACAAAATAATTGCATCTTTCGAATGGTTACCTCTTTCCACATCTCATATAAAATAACTGCACATATTAAAGAATATTCTATCGTACATGGAAAAAGAAACGGAGATGCGTTACGTAATAAAGCACCCATAATATTTGCCCTGCGACACGGCAACTCAGTCGTTTCATTATGAGATCCATTCGTTTTCGATAGCATTGTATGCTCCAAGTGATGTATTTCGTGCTTTGTCTCCTCAACAAGAACGTACAGCCACTCGCAAAGATTAGTCGCAATCATATGCATAAATCCAAATCTCTGTACCATTTTATAGCTGCCCGCTTCGATGTCTTTGTTGGTTAGGAAAATGAACTGCATTTGCGCCAGTGTTAATGCCATTCGTAAAGCAGGCGTTAGTGCTGATAGCATGGATCGACAACGATCTGTCATTTCGAAGTATTCTCCAAATTCTAATCCACTGTACACCATCGAACCTATACCAAAAGCTGAAAAATATTATTAGAAGTATATACTTATATATAACTATATACATTGTACGTAGTTATCAAGTTTATTTATGAGTCTTAGCTGTTGTAGTTTTTTTTAAGAAAGATTCATAGAAAGAGAACTCTTAAATAAATAAATGAGTGTTACCAATAGCTCCTAATCTCAAATAGAAACTGCCATATCGGGATATCGATTCCTTCTCTTTATTTCTTTCACACGGAGTAGTTTTACCAGTCCTATCTTCTTTGTTTGTATTTGTAACATCTGTACACATGAAAACACAATACCAGTAATGATGGTCCTTGGCTCTTTATGCATGTATAAAAACAAATTTAAATACGCATTTAAAAATTATTTGAATGGCTAAAGAAGTTAGTGGAATACAAAGTGAAGAAGGTAATATCCTTTGCGGTAGCAATTATGCAAACTAGATACGATTTTAATGTCGCATTTTGTTACGCAAATGCGGCTAATTACTTAAAGTCATGACATTGCTGGATTTTAATATTTGTGTACTTTTAATTCAAAAAAATATTAGAACTGAAAGAATACTTACCATGTCCGTTAATGATCAAATTTACAGCTTTCTGGCGCATCAAATTAACATAATGAAAGATCACGAACAGCATAGATACTAAGTACAGATATAAGTAGAATCCCTGCGAAAATATGTAATACATGTGTAACGGATTTTGGTTATCTAATATAGTATATCTAGTCTATAATCAAGCTTTTTTTTATAGAATTAGGGTGACAAACGAGCACACAGTCCACCTGATGGTAAGTGGTAGCTGTGGCCCATAGACATCTGCATCTATCTTCGTTTGTGCGAATTAAAATGCAGATGCGCTGTCAGCCGTGAGGACTAAGATAGAATGCCTCTTTGCCAGGAAAAAGGGTCTCCGGTCCTCTACACTCACCATACGCAACACAGCAGCGTTAAGCTGCTATTTTACGCTGGTTTTCTGTGAGAGCGTGGTCCTTCCCCGGTCGAGCCGACCCATTCGTGCTACAACTATACTATTAATATAGCTGCAACATGGCTCTACCACGTATAAAAAACTTTAGTATCCAGCTTTACCTGATAGTATCCATCTGGTACCCCATTTGCAATAACTTCTGTAACAGGGAACGCAATTCCAAGCACCACTAACAGTTTGGCGTATAATGCTGATAACGCTTTACTTAGAGCTTCACTGAAAATAAAATTATTAAATATAAAATTTAGAGCGCAATTGCCAAGAGGCATTTTTCAGGTACCTTATAATTCAATTTCATTATCACTATAAGTCTACAGCTGTACGTCTTCCAAGCCGTTAAAAAAGGCTAAGTTAATAGACTAAACAGTGGTGAAATAGTGATCACAGGTCTCGTCCCTTGAACACAATTTTCTATCTTTCTGATTTCATTGAAGTTTTAAATATTTAATATTCAGTTATTCCGCTAGCAAATCATAGCTTCTATTTTTATCGGATATATTATGGCGTAGGTAAAACAGATTTTTTAATTGGATAATGGTGACAAACGAGCACACAGTCCACCTGATGGTAAGTGGTTACTGTGTCCTGTAGCCCATAGACATCTACATCTATCCAGGTTTACGATTTAAAATTCAGATACGTTGTTTCCCGTGAGCACTAAGATGGAATGCCTACACTCACCATATGAAACACAGCAGCGTTGAGCTGCTATTTTACGCTGGTATTCTATGAGAGCGTGGTCCTTCCCCGGTCGAGCCGACCCATTCGTGGTAAAACTATACTACTAATATACCTGCAGCATGGCTCTAAAATTAAATAGTCAAATGTTGTGATTGCTAATTAATATATAATAAATGTGGCGTTTGTAAAGATCGTAATAGACGGATGTTTGGTCGCTTAGTCTATTATCGTATAGCTAATTGGGTTATAATACTTCTACTTAGGTACTAATGTAAAACAAGATGGCGGAGCTAATTTTCTACCTAAGAGTCCATCTGGGTTGCTTTCACACTTACCTATTTCTACCGCCAATTCTGTGTTTGTTGTGATTCTGCCACACTGCTGTGTGCAGCTTTAAATCTTATGAGGGTCGTTATTATAACAAACAACCTTGAAGCTTACCATTTATCCTCGGGGGTGATAACGAATCTGTGGCTTTTTTCTCTCTTTATATTAGCAGGTGTAAATGTGCAACAGTGGCCACTTGCCATGAAGTGAACTTTTAGCAAGTTTGCCACTTTAATATTTAAACAATATTTTAAAGTAAAAAAAATGGTATGATATCTCTGAAATTGAACACTATTATATCACTATTTGCGTATTCTAGGTTATTAAATTAATAATCTTTTTATACCACCTGTTCTGATTTTTTTTTTTGATTCAAAATATTATATTATTTAGGAGTGCAAGCATAATAGCATTAAAGGATTAACACTGAATCTATTATAATGGGTATTACTGCGACGTTTGAGTGGCTTAATATGGGATCTAGTTAATACTGTAACCTAAATCATAAAACTAAAAAGGTGTAACAATTTTTTAATAAGTTTATTTTTAATTATTTATTAAATATTCCCTAATGCTCATTCAATTACTCAACTTTTGAGATAATTTCAACATGTTAAATTTCTTACTTTTTACATTAATAACTGGATTGTTTATTTTGTACAAAAGCTTTAGTATACTGAAAACAAGGGACACTCAATATTCCAACTTGTAATAATTTAATTCAAAATAAGTTCACGGTAAATTCAATTGCCGTATGTAAAATACAAAATAATCTTTTGAAAATTATTTGTTCAGTAAAATTTTAAGAAGTAATGGATTCTAACGGGGTTTCTTAGTGTCAGTTGTGATTATGATTAACCGTACTGTAAAAGAGACCCATTTCCAGCAATAATTTACGTACTCGTATTTTTGAGAAGTAGGAAAAAGTTACTATAATTATGTAATGCTTGCAAAATGCATGTTTATCTTTTTCTTAATTCTTTGCATAAATTTAAAAGTTAAAGTTACAGCCTATATACCACCCACAGCTGGGCGAGGCCTCCTCTCATTTCTGAGAGAGTTTTAGGACGAGGAAGTGTCCGCCGCGCTGCCCCAATGTGTGTTAGCGAACTTCACATGTCTTCGAAATATTTTTTTTCTTATCTCTCAGATATGCAGGTTTCCTCGCGATGTTTTTCTTCACCGCCGAGCACGTGGTAAATCCGGAGAGTGCCGGCGAGGATCGAACCCGTGTTGCTCGATTACTGTGAAACTTACAGCGAGCGCTAACCATCTGAGCTACCACGGCTCTTTTTCTTTGCATATAACAAATGATTTTGAGGAACTTTTATATATTTAATTTTGTAGCCGAAATAACGCAAGCCCTGACAAATTCTAATTCGAATATTTAGTTATGAAATTAGGGTTATTGTTGAACTGTAACACACTGTGAAACTGTATGGAAAGTATAGGCATACTGATTTTGGGCATGTGAGAAGGTTATTTGATTTTGGATAGTAGTTCGGAAAACTACGATATGAAATCTAAAAATCTAGAGGTGCATAAAATTCATTTTTCTTTGAAACGACAGTAAAACGTAGGAGTGATAATATAGTTTATGATGTTCGGACAAAAAAAAATATTTAATTTAAAATGACAGAAATATATTTGGTAGCCGGTTCTGGATAAATATATCAGGGATTACGTTTATTACGTTACACGTACTAAGAATAACTTGTTTATACATATAATAAAAATGTAAATTGCAGATACTAAAAGTAAGTAAATAAATATATTTCTATCATTTTTAGCACTGTCTGTCTGTCAGTTTGCTTATGAACATATCACGTCTAAAGTACTAATGTTTTTCAACAGAATCACTAAGAAAATCATAAAGCGTATCTTCGAGTAATATTTTGTCTTGGTTTTATTAAAATCATTTTAATCAAAAGTTATGATTATTATTTTGAAATGTAGGTATCAATTTGTTGAGTCATTAATGCGTTTTAATTTAGCTTCAGAAATCCTAATTAAATGATGTAAAAAAGTGCTTAATAAAAAATAGCAAATACTCGTAAAGTGCTTAATAGCAAAGTGATTAATAAAAAATAATGTGTTTTCTCACATAGATTAACGTAATATCACCTCAGTTAGAAAAGTATAACGGTTAACCCAGTGTTGTCGAAAGATGGTGTTGTAGAAATGAGAGGGAGTTTTATCACGAGAATTCGCATTAAGCTGAAAGCTCCAGGGTGGCCCGCGAAATTCAAATTTTCTTGCGTTTTTTGGAATTTGCAGATCAGGGTAAGGTTGTATGTTTAACAAAATATGATTCGTGACCGTAACGAGTATGTATTTAAAGAATTATAATCATTATAATCATCAATACAACCGTCTATGTTCGTATAATCCCTTACAACTTTCCAATGACAATAAACAATGCAACAGAAACAGAAACAGATACAGATACTTTTTTATTCAATATAGATTATAAATAATACTTATTGAAAGTCACTCTTTTGTATGATTACCACTGGTTCGAAAAAGAAAACCTCTGTCCTGGGAAGAACCAGCCAGAAACCCAGCGGGACTTTTTTTTTTAAATAACAGCTTACAATCATGTATGTTACACAAATTAACAACACAATAAATTAGAAATAGCTTGTTAGCGATCACCTCATTTCCAGGGGTTATAATCATCTATAAATTCATTAATATTATAATAACCCTTTTTACAAACTTAGTTTAATAAAGTTTTTGAACTTTGAGCAGGTCAAATTTTGTATATTTTCTGGAATTTTGTTGTAAAAGCGTATACATCGCTCCAAGAATGAATTACTGACTCGATGGAGTCGAGTAACTGGTACTACTAGCTTGTGTCTGTTCCTAGTATTTACAGAATAAATATCACTTATTATTGTAAAACTACTTTTATTTTTGTGTACGTACATTACATTTTCATAAATGTATTGAGAGGCCAAAGTTAATATATTAATTTCCTTAAATTTTTGTCGCAGCGACTCTTTAGGCTTTAAATCATAAATTGCTCTTATGGCCCTCTTCTGTAAAACAAATATAATTTCAGTGTCAGCTGCGTGTCCACATAGCAAAATACCATACGACATTATGCTATGGAAATAGCTAAAGTAAACTAGTCTAGCTGTTTCAACACTAGTTAGACTTCTAATCTTTTTTACGGCATATGCTGCAGAACTAAGTCTGCTTGCTAGTTTTGATATATGGGGGCTCCATTGAAGCTTCGCGTCTAGTGTGATTCCAAGAAAAATGGTGGTATCTACAAGACTCAGATTCTCCCCATTTAAAATTACATTAGTATTTAATTGTTTGACATTTGGAGTCATAAATTTCATACATTTCGTTTTAGTGCCATTTAAATGCAAATTATTAACATTGAACCAATTTACTAATTTAGATATAGCAACTTGCAAGAGCGTCGAAAGTTTGGAGGGTCATAGAATGAATACTTTGTCGCATCACTTTGTAGCGTAAAATGTCAAAAGCATTATCATGTCATATCATTCATGATGATGAAGAAGAAGGAAAATAGATTCATGAAGCGACAGTAATGGCACGGTGTGAACCGCTAATTCTAAAGGTCGTGGATTCGAATCCGCCATCCGACTACTGTTGTGAACCACTCCTAACACAAGCATTTTATGCTTATCAGGAGTAGTTAAAGGTAACATTAGTAATGTTAATAGCATTGCTGGTATTTAAAAAAAATCATTGGTCCATAAAAGTGTGTACTGTCTACTGAACGACATACTCGCAGCCCTCTCCCACTGTAGGGGTGATTTGCGGTAATTGCCATGGTAGACAGGCTATGGCGATACAAAATGTCACGCACCTTTGAAGTTGCCGCCCGTAGCCGGTCTGGGTATTTTCTGTCTGGCTCTTGTATAACCGATATGGTAATACCACCATAAACTATCGAAAGCCATTAGGTTTTCTGGCGTTTCCCCACAGTCGCCTCTTACATACACACCCCTGGGACATAGCGGGTTGATGGACAAACGAATTATCATTTTAATTCTTGCATAACCTCTTCCTAAGTTTCTTTTGCGTATTTTCATAGTGCATATTTACGTTACTTAGTTTTACTTTTAATAAATTACTGAAGTAACGGCAGGCCCGTTGTTAAAGTTATCCATGAACTTGATCGGTTTTGTGATGAAATTACTCCTTATAAGTATAAAAACATCTATACAATTACTGTTTGAGTTCCAACTGTAGTGTGGTTTATGAAATATGAACAATTAGGCCAAATAATATCAAATAGTAATAAAACTTCCAAAACAAACAATTTTTTAACAAAGGTGATCTATGCGAACGAAGTCGCAGGCACAGCTAGTAATAAGTAAAATTAGATAATATAATATTAGGTCCTTACATATGAAATTAGCGTTTTGTCGTACTGACCACTTTGATCTGAAATATCTCTTCTTTGGTTAAGAATTCCAAACTCAAATTTATAAACTCATTTATCTGGTACATTTGAGTTTTCAAAACAGTCATTCATTTGTTTTTTTCCTCATCATTTTTTTCTTTGGCGTCGCTTAATATCGCACAATGGAAAACATGAAATATCGGTATATTTACGAATACGAGTTCTACCGTGGCACCAGAGCTGCAGAAACAGCTCGAAGGATTAATGATGTGTACGGTGCTGATGTCGCAAAAGAAAGGACGGTATGTTTTTGGTTTCAACGTTTTCGTTCTGGAAATTTCGACAGAACCATTCAGAACCAACCCTGTGGACGACCGGAGATCTAAGTGGAAAATGAAGAATTAAAGGCTATTGTGGAAGCGGATCCATCACAAAGCACTTCAGAGATGTGATAAAACTGTATTAATCCACTTGAAGCAAATCGGAAAAGTAAAAAAACTTGAACGAATTGAGTGAATCGAACTTGCAAACACGCGTCGACTGCTGTGTTACTTTGCTCAACCGACACAATAATGAAGGGATTTTAAATCAAATCATTACTTGTGATGAAAAGTGGATACTGTACGATAATCGGAAGCGCTTGTCGCAATGGCTGAACCCTGGAGACCCAGCCAAATCCTGCCCTATACGAAAATTGACTCAGAAAAAGTTACTTGTGAGTATTTGGTGGACTAGCGCCGGTGTCGTTCACTACAGCTTTCTAAAATCTGGCCAAACGATTACGGCAGATATCTATTGTCAGCAACTGCAAACCATGAAGGAAGAACTAGCTGCTAAATAACCGAGATTGGTCAATCGCTCTAGGCCACTGCTGTTTCACGACAACGCAAGACCTCACATGGAATACTGTTCCCATCTCTGGGCAGGGGCTCCCCAGTGCCAGCTCCTTCCACTTGACCGCATCCAGCGCAGAGCGGCTCGAATCGTCGACGACCGAGCCCTTTCCGATCGGCTCGATTCATTGGCACTGCGAAGAGATGTTGCATCTCTTTGCATTTTCTTTCGCATCTACCATGGGGAGTGCTCTGAGGAATTGTTCGGATTAATCCCAGCCGCCAAATTTCACGAACGCACATCGCGGCAGAACTCCCGATACCATCCACACCATCTGGATGATTGGCGGTCCACCACTGTGCGATTTAGAAGATGTTTTCTTCCTCGCACAACTTCCTTGTGGAATAGTTTACCACCAGGGATTTTTCCGGACTCCTTTTTAAAAGGCCGGCAACGCATCTGCAATTCCCCTGGTGTTGCGGTTGTTCATGGGCGGCGGTAGTCACTTACCATCAGGTGAGCCGCATGCTCGTTTGCCCCCTCTCATATAAAAAAAAAAAAAAAAAAAAAAAGACCTGCACATGTCTGGATTGGAATGTCTGCGATATCCACACTGCACATGTCTGGATTGGAATGTCTGCGATATCCACTGTACTCCCCGGACCTTGCTCCAACAGATTACCATTTTTTCCGGAATTTGGAAAACTTCTTACAAGGAAAAAAATTCAACTCCGATGCGGCAGTCCAAACCGCCTTCAAAGAGTTTATTGATTCTAGCCCCCATTGTTTTTTTAGTAAGGGGATCAATGAACTACGTATGAAATGGCGAATGTGCATAGATAACAACGGTGTATACTTTGATTAATTAAATATATTTTACAAAAAAAATTGACTTTATATTCCTCCCGTACAAAACGCCAATTTCATATGTAAGGACCTAATACTATAAAAAAGATAATTACAAAATCCAGTTTTATTAGTGATGTAAAAAAAATCTTATTTCTTTAGAAGTAGATTTTCTAAATCCATTTGTTTAACAAACTTCAGCTAAATACATTAAATGCATTAGGATTGGAAGTGTGTGTATCCAGTTATGTACAGAAGTTAGTAATTAAATTGATGTAATAATCCATATTGTCCATTAATTGACCTACTTACTCGTGAACTGAATGCTTGTGTTCAGAAGGTTTACATTACAATGATGTTTTAAACATAGATGATAATGATGATGATGACCATAAGTTATTTCTTATCATAAGAAATGTTTGGGCACTATTAAGTCACTTCAAATATGTAAAGGTGTATTTAAGATAAAAAATTAAAAATATATAAAAATAAAACGGAATTAGTTAAATACTCACTGCCCTAAAATCTCAGCGGCAGAAGGCGGTGATTCGTGGTTTGTAGATGCTACAGAAGTACGTGAGTGTGACGTAAATTCCGATAAAAATCGGCGTTGTGTCGCTGCGCACAGGGCCAAAGCTTGAGATGGACGACGGAATGCAGCAATTATAGCTGATGGACGCCTAAAAGAAATTATAACGGTTTAATATCAGTACTAAACATGAGAATAACACACATAACCTATAAAGAAGCTGAAACTGCGGCGTATATGTTATTTACAGAACTTAATCAGATTCGCAGAAAGTATTCATAATAAGCTACTTGTTTTGTGTTTACACCGAAGAAAAGACTGAAATTAAGAATTAATGTAACGATTACATACATACATACATACATACATAAACACTCACGCCTGTTACCCAGAGAGGTAGGCAGAGATTATGGACTTCCATTTGGCACGATCCTGACACACCTCTCTCGCTTCGTCCACATCCATATACCTTCGCATACACGCTTGTCGGTTAAAGGTACTCTTGATTTGGCCCATTTTTAATATATCGCCAATTTGGTCGATAAACTTTCGCCTAGGGCGACCCTTCCCGACTATGCCGTTCACCTCTGCAACATAAATTTGCTTTGTTACTCTTTCCTCATTCATTCTTTCTACATGGCCAAACCACCGAAGCATTCCTTTCTTAATCCTGGTCACAACATCATCTTGCAAACCACACTCTTCTCTTATTAAACAATTTCTAACTCTGTCATTCAGATTCATCCCTAACATACTCCTTAACGACCGCATTTCTACAGCATTTATTCTACTCTCGTGCTTCTTCTGCCACACCCAACTTTCACTACCATACATTAAAGTAGGTACTAACACAGTATTGTAAATTGCCATACGTGCCGTTTTGGACACATTCTGAGTTTTCACAATAGAGTGTAGAGCCCCATTCACTCTATTTCCTGCATTCATTCGTCGTTCTATATCCTTATCATATCTACCATCCCTGCTAAACACACATTCCAAATATACAAAGTCATCTACTTGCTCTACCAAATCCCCTTCTATTCTTATTTCACATATCGTTTTACTTTCTTCTCTTTCAAAAACCATAACTTTCGTCTTTCTTGCGTTCACTTTCATTCCCTTTTCTTTTAATGTCCTGTTCATTAATGTAACCATCATTTGCAACTCTGCTGCCGACGATGCAAGTATGACTTGATCATCGGCGTACAAAAGGCGTTTGACGGTTAACTCACCCATTCTTAACCCGCATTCTTCTACTTTCAAATTTTCCAAACAACTGTCCATAAATAGGTTGAACAACCACGGGGAAGCCACACAGCCCTATCTGACACCTTTATGGATGCCAAACCAGTCCGAGTAGGTCCCGTTGATCCTGACACAAGCACTAGAGTCCCTATATAGAGACTTCAATGCCTGTATCAGACCAGCAGTCAACCCAAATGAGTTCAGTGTTTGCCATGACACATCCCTGTCCACTCTGTCATAAGCCTTCTCCAAGTCTATGAACGCACAAAAAACTTTTTAGTTTTTGGCCAAAAACTTCTCCGCGATCATGCGCATGGAAAAGACCTGATCCGTACATCCCATTCCCTTTCTAAATCCCGCTTGCACATCCCAAATTTATCCATCAGTTTCTTTCATAACTCTTTCAATTAGTACCTTAGCATACACTTTTCCCACAATGCTAAGACTAATGTAACGATTCTTATATCAAATGAAAATTATTGAAAAAAAAATCGATTACTAGTCACTAATGCTATCCAATAATAAGTAAGAAAATGTTACCAACCAGAAAGACATCATCGACAATAGTTTTATTTATTACTTACAAATATAGCTACCTGGTATTAAGATTGGCTGCCAATTTTGCGTCAATATCATGGGAAACACGTCTGCTGTTCGGTTGGGAATGTGAATTCTGCACAAGTGGCTCCGCAGCAGAACCAAGCATAGCTCTTGTACGTTCGCGAAGTCTTCCCAAGTCGGAGTATGAGGATTCATCGCTAAAATAATGATTATGATCATAGATATAGTTTCTAGCGTCAGTTTACACTAAATCTTTGATGTGAATGTAATGAATGATAAAAAAATAATTGCAACGAGTCTATAGTATTCTATATTTTATTTTATTTCATCGGGAGAAAAACAGTTACATATTAATATAATACTATTGTAGCGGACAGCGAGGAGGCCGCCGCCCTGTCGCCCCTTCACACCCCGGTGCGCCCCGCGCACCCCGCACACCGGCAGCAGATCACGCGATGTCGCCGACCAATGAGCGCGCGGCATCGCGGACGGCGCTACGCACGACCCGAGACGCTCTCCGGCGAGATATAAGAAGGGCGTCTCGGACGGTTAGCTGTTCATTTCGGAAGCGGCACTCGACGAGAAGAAGACAGCAAGAAAATCAAGACTCAAGAAGACTCCATCAAGAAGACTCCCCTCTGTATAATAGTTTAATTAATAGTGCCACATTTTGTAAATAGTTAGAATACAGTATAGTTCGACAGTACCATCTTTTCTTTGAGCAGTTGCCCCTTAGCGTACACCCCCCGTACCCCCCAATAATACAGTCCACTGCGATCCATAACAAGTTCTTGGTCCATCGTCGCCGGATTCAAGCCAGAAGAAAGAAGAAAGAACATAATTATAGAAGAGAGAACATAATTATAGAAGAGAGAACATAATTACAGAAGAAAGAAGATCATTACAGAAGATCTTCGAGGAAGAAAGAAGTACGTCGACGAAGAGAGAAGATCGTCGGTGCTAACTCCTTCCTCGTTTCTTATTTACATCGACGTCATATATATTGTCTGTTTCCAGACAATTCCTGTTTCTTAACCGCGTTTACGCGGCCGGGTGGTTGCTCCCTAACGGTGCCAAACTGTGACCATCCGGTAACGCCCTTGAGGCGGGAACGGCGTCCAATACGTGCGTCTTTTTGAAGACGATCGGAGGTCGTAACGAGGGACACCATCATGCGGAAGACAAGAAGCCAGAAGAGACGGAACGACGACGAAACGCCAGTAGGAATGCGGATATTCGAGGAAGCACCCGCGTCCCCGTCTGATTATCTCGCGTTGGCACAAGCGCCCCCCGCCGCGCCGCAGCCCCCGCTCGCGCCCGCATCTATGCCCGCGCCCGCGCCCGCGCCGCCGCGCCCCGCTATGTCCGTGTCTACAACCGATCGCTTGGGAGAAGTTAGCACATCCGCGCCGCGCACAGAAACGCTCGCCGCGATAATAGAAGATCTTCCGACTACGGAAACTAGTTCGATAGTGCGTACCGTCGCGCCTGTAGCAGACGTTGTACATAGGCCCGCGTCCCGCGCCCCGTCGGTCCGTTCAGTCCGTTCAGCCCGGTCGACAGCTAGCGCAGTAGCAAGATTAAAACAAATCGAATATAATGCCGCGGAGGAACTAGCTGCAATTAGGAGGAAGCAATTGCAAATAGAGGAAGATCTCGTCAAGAAGAAATATGCTAGGGATATCGCGCAACTGCAAGAAGAAACCGATAGGGAAAGCCTAAACGAGGACGAATTAGTCGAAAATAGGGTACGCGTTGATAGGTGGTTAGAAAACGTAGAGACTGTGCGGGGGGAGCCGCCCTACCGCCCGCCTCAGCCCGCGCCCCGCATCGAGATAGAGCAGGCCCCACCGAGGAGGGGAACCGGTTACGACCACGCTGAAGATGCCCAGGGGAAGTCGGTCGCGAATGACGTTCAACCGCGCCGCGTAAATAGGATACAGAGGGATAATGGAGTCGCCGTAGAAATGAACCAGGTGGATCGTCGTGTACGAGCTACGTCGCCGTCGCGCGTCCAACGCCGCACCCTATCGCCTACACATAGATCGCCACATCGCCTTGCGGATCGTAGATTACCGTCGCCGCGTTATAGGGATGTAGGTATACATAGATCGCCATCGCCACATCACCACGCGGATCGTAGATCACCGTCGCCGTGTAATGATGTAGGCGGAGATAAATCGCCACATCGCCTTGCGGATCGTAGATTACCGTCGCCGCGTCATAGGGATGTAGGTGTACATAAGTCGCCGGCGCCACAGCGTAGGCTAGAAGGAAATAGGGATAGAGATAGGTCGCTCACCCCGCGAGGGAAGGATAGGGGTATAGAACGGCTAGCGGAAGCCTTAGAAAGTATGGTTAGGGTTAGACCAGCCGCCGCGAAACAGACGCAGGACTTGCCTATTTTTAACGGCTCGGCCGCGGAATGGTTAGCATTTAAAGCCGCGATGAATGAATCCACGCGTTTATATGGATTCACAAATACGGAAAATATGGCAAGATTAAGGAACTGTTTACGCGGTGAGGCTAGAGAGGTAGTATCGGCTCTGCTGTTTACCCCGAAGGATCCAGCAGACATTATGCGGACACTGGAGCAGTGTTTCGGCCGCCCGGAAGTAATTATAGATCGTGCGTTAGAAGAATTGAAACGCCTTCCGCGCCCGGGTCAAACCGCCCAGGAATTAAACTCGTTCGCAATTAAGTTACAGAATATAGTGTGCATTATGCAGAACGTCGACGGCAAGGGTTATTTGCGTAATCCAATGCTGACTAGGGAGGTTACTAGCAAACTTAGCCCTCACTTACGGTCGCGTTGGTGCGATTATGCGGAGCACTACGGAAGTGCGGACGAACCGGACATCGTTACGTTATCCCGGTTCATGATGAGAGAGGCTGACCGTGCGTTAAGTCATGCCTATACGTCCGTAGCGTCGACTAAGGAATCGCCCGTAAGACGAGAGACGCCGCCGTCGAAAAGAATAGTGTTAACACGCCGCGTAGAAGATAGGGCCCGCGACGTAAAGACGTTCACCGCCCAGGAGGACACCGGTAGTGCCTCATGTATGTGTTGCGGGGGTGAACACCCTATCATCAAGTGTAAGAAGATGGGGTATGTTTCAAGTGCTTGAGCAGCAAGCACCGACGTATATGCTGCAAAGCCAGAAAGTGCGGCGTCGACGGTTGTAACGCCCCCCACCACGCTCTTCTTCACACCCGCAAGGCCCGTACGCCTGCAGCGTCGGTTAAACCGGACGAAACCGTGCTCGTCGCGTCAAGTGTTAGCAGTAGTGCGTCCGTATTGTTAAAAGTGTGTCCGATAACCGTGCTCGGACCACGCGGAAAGGAAGTGAACACGTACGCGCTACTTGACGAAGGCTCTACGATATCGCTAATCGACGACGACTTAGCTCGCGAGTTAGGAGCGGAAGGACCGATAAAGCCGCTCAACATTAAAGGCGTAGAGACAGTCAACGCGAGGCTAATAGTAGATTAGTCAATATAGGGATACGTGGCAAGACGCGCAGCGAGATGTTTAACATAAACGCGCGAACAATAACCGACTTGAAGATAGGCTCGCAGTCCGTGAGTAGGGAGTGCTTACGATTAAAGCACTTACGTGACTTACCGAGTTCGGTGTGTTACGACGACGCGAAGCCAAGACTGCTATTAGGCGCCGACAATTGGCATTTGATAATTACCCGTGCTTTAAGGATAGGACGTCGAAGGCAGCCTATAGCTGCACGAACGTTATTAGGATGGGTAATTCAGGGAACCGTGCCGCGGTTAACGTGTAGGGAAGACGGCGAGACCGTATTACACGTGGAGAGCGCTAGCGGACGGTCAGATAGGGACATCCGAACGTTTGCCAGTCGGGACGAGGAGCTAACGGAACTCCTCAAACGGCAGTACGAGATAGACTCTATAGGTATCTCGATGAAGAGTAGGCCGCGACGGGATGAGGAGCACGCTGTCGACATATTCCAGCGCACCGTCAAGAAGGTCGGCGAGCAATACCAAGTTGGACTGCCATGGAAGGACGACAACGTGCGGATGCCACCCAGCTACGAGATGGCAGCGCGAAGACTACGGACGATCGAGAGGAAGATGGACCAGTCGCCGGAGTTTCGTGACGCCTACACAGCCCAGATAGACAACCTCCTGGCGAAGGGATACGCAAGGGAAGCCGAGGGGACAGAGCGAGAGGATCCCAAGAGCTGGTACCTGCCACACTTCGCAGTACGGAATCCGAACAAGCCGGGGAAGACGAGATTAGTGTTCGACGCGGCAGCGCGTGCATCCGGCAGATGCCTTAACGATTATTTACTCGACGGCCCCGACTTATTACGGAACCTACCGGGCATACTGTTTCGATTTAGGGAAAACGAGATAGCGGTGTCCGCGGATATTAGGGAGATGTTCTTGCGTGTAAAGATCGACCGTCGCGACCAGCCCGCGCAGTTGTTTCTTTGGCGAGGAGACGAGCGACACAGCCCACCGCGGGAGTACGTTATGACATCAATGATTTTCGGTGCGAGGAGCTCGCCGTTTCTCGCACATAGCGTTAGGGATCATAACGCGCGCGTACACACAGAGACACACCCGTTGGCACTTAACGCTATCATACGTAGCCATTACATGGATGATTATTTAGACAGTTATGCCACGGTAGAGGAAGCGATAAATACGGCGAAGCAGATTTCGGAAGTGCACCAGCAGGCCGGTTTCACCTTGGCAGGATGGAACTCCAACCACGCAGCCCTGTTAGAACACAAGCCGGAGGACTTACTGGCGCGTAAGCCTAAAGAAGTAGGCTTAAGACAAGACAGCCCAGGCAGAACCTTAGGGTTATTATGGATGGCTGATGAAGACGCCCTAACATTCAACACGTCAATGAATAGGGTGCCGCAAGAAGTGAAGGCGCTACAGCGACCACCGACCAAGAGGGAAGCATTAAGCGCGGTCATGTCCGTTTTTGACCCGCTTGGACTGCTAAGTTACCTCACCATCACCGCCAAGATCCTGCTACAAGACCTATGGCGCATGAAGAAGGTCGGATGGGACGACGAACTACCCGAGGAGGCAGCAGAGGAATTCCAGAGATGGCTGCGAGTCGTCGAGGAGGTATCACGACTACGACTGCCAAGGTGCTATGCTCCTACGGGGGGAGTTGTAGAGCGTCAACTTCACGTCTTCAATG